ACACACACACACACACACACACATACACACATATATTTTTTTATTAATAAAAACAAATACTTACATGTTTTTCTGCTTACTCCAATAATTTTGGACAAGTTCACTTGTAAAACCGGCATCTAGTAAGACTCGATTAATCAAATCTGTGTTACCTAACAGAAAAAGGACAGCCTCAATTATACCCACATATTTTTTAATTAGGATAATGAGACAAATATGTTATCTATTTCTAAAAGCAATTTAGAATGAATATTTCTATGAATTTAAAAATATATCCTCTATTAATTTTCTGCATGTTTTTTTATATTGCTCATCTTGTCTCAGGTTTTTCAGGATATGGACAGAATTAGCAGTGGAAAAGCCAATTCCAAATGAGGTAAATTATTTTGTAAACTTTATCAAAAAGATATTTGAAATTAGCAAACCAATAAACAATGAGGAAACAGTGTTTCTCTCTCTCTTTTTTTTTATAGGTTAGTGTGGTGATTCTAAATCATCATAATTTCATGGACAATTTTATATATAAATACAAAACTATAACACATAGTTTTTTTGTTTGTTTGTTTTGGCCAAGAAACAATAAGTTAACACAGACCAGCCCTATTCCAAGACTGGCTTTTGGAATCTACTGGTATTGGTGAAAGAGCATATCAGCTCGAGTTCAAAGGTATTGGAGAGGACAGATGATGAAAAAGAAAGGTTAAATTAATACACTTTAATTAAAGTTTTTGTTTTCTTAAACATTTTTTGCCTTCATCCTTTTCTCCTGATTCCTCTGCTCTAGCCAATGAAGCTCTGAATAACCTACAAGTACCCTCTCAAACTTCACATTTATGATACAATTTCATTTTATTCAGGTAAGAAATATATAGTCTTACTTATTATCCTATTACTACAAGAGGTGGGAATAGGATAGGCTAGAAACATTTTAGTTGGTTTTAATTAATTTAATTTAATGTATCTTTCACTCAGGATTAAAGGTTGACTTAATCCATATTTTAGACTTCAATTTGTTTTAGGAACTATCTTTTTCTTACATTATTTTAGAAACTGCCATCACTTTAAAAAATAGTCCTTTTGGAAAGTGAATGCTATAATATAATTGTCTAAAATCCTTTCAGGTAAAAAAAAAAAAAAAGAAAAAAAGAGACCATTATTCTAATTTTTAATATAAACCAATATTGCAAGTAATTTAATAATTTTGTTCATATTTTCTTTATACAAGTCTAAAAGGTGTCTTGAAATAGGTCCCTTGCTGCTGATTACATACAATATACAAACGGATTCTTAGTATTAATCTTTACCATTACACACACACATACGCACACACACACACACAATGTCATTTTTACATTAGTTCAAAAATAAAAGGGAATATGAGGAAGACAACTATTCTATAATACAGACATTTAGGTAGGTTAATAAATTAACTTAATATTAGGTGAGAATTCTAATTTTACTGATTAAATATTTTTATAAAGCAAAATTATATTTGATTGCATCCCTTTGAAAAGAAGCCATTTAGATCTCAGTTAGATTTCAATCACTGACATCTACTTTTAGAGCTAGTTTTACATATTATTTGATAATAAAGTAAAATATGACTGGAAAAACTCTGTAATATATAACCATCAGAAAATATAAATTATTTTATAGCTATTGGCTCCTTTTTAAATTAAAAATCCAATAAAATTTCAACTCTTCACATGGTTATACAATCACATCAAACATTTCCTATTGGATTATAGGGAGGTAGATACAAGGTGAAGTGAAATGGAGAGATTGAAGAACAGACAACGGTATAGATATTAATATTATTATACCGAAAGTATTTTGTTTAAACATATTCATACTTTCCTAGAACTGAAAGGCATCCAATTAAAGAAAAATTCAATAATATTTCAGTTCTCTCTTGGGAATGCCTATTACTGACTAATAGGAAATAAACAATAACATAAAATAACATTAAAAAGGCTCTGGCTCACTCAGAGTGAGCTTACACTGAGTAGAAAGTTTTGGAATCGTGCATATTAAGGCATGATCAATGTAGACTTCATCTACCTAAGACAGGGTTTCAGAGTAGCTCATTACTGTGAGTGGTGCTAGAAGTTATTTTATAAGATAAATTTAAACTTGAGAGATGGCTTTGAGAATTAATGTTTTATAAATGAGGAAGTGCTTTTTTTTAACCCTTCCTGACAGAAAGGGAAATTATTTTTAAAAAGAAAAAGGAGAAAAAAGAGGAGGAAGAGGAAAGAGGGAGGAAGGAGTATGGAAGAACAAACATGTCAGTTATGTATACTTTTTTTTTTCCAAATTATATTCACTAAGGTAATTTTTGCCAAAGAGCTGGTTTTCCTGTTATTTCCAATTTGCATTGCATTTTTCCTTGGTAGTACTTTCATAGGATATTTTTAGCAAAAAGTTAAGATTTTTAAAAAAGAGCCAAGAATCCATAAATCTCTGTGAAGTTTCTTGTATGAATGATTTTCAAATTTCTCTGAAAGACAAATATAATATTTAAAAACTACTAAAATTTCTTTTATCTCAAATGGATTTACTTCATTAACTGGGAAATTACAGAAGCATATGTTTTAATATAAAAAGTTAACTGTGAAAAAAAAAGTTAACTGTGATCAAATAAAATGTCAGAAAGAAAACAAACCATTAAGTGATATATCTTCATTTATATATTTTTTATTCTGTTCATATTAAAACTCCTTATATAAATGAGAGGATATAAATCAACAAAAAAGTGTTTTGTGTTTGTTTTCCTCTATATAGTAAGAACAATGCAATGAAAAACCTTCAAAAGATCGTTCAAAATTAAGTTTGTTAAATTTGAAAGGAGCAAAGGTAAGCGCATTTGATTTACATTTCAACACTCGCAAGTATTACTTGGCTTTGAAATTTTGATTTTACTTAGTAATGAAATAAAACTTCTTTCATATATAAAGGGCCAAATTGTTATATTTTACTCTTAAAAATTCATCCAGTAAACAAATAAACCATCATAACAACAATGTAATCTGAACCCAGATTTGACCACTTTGGATATAACCAGATTGATACAATTATTGCAAATTAATATATACTTACATGATGGATTGTTTGGAGTTTTTCTATCAATAAACTCATTGAAATTTAAAAGAAACTCGGTATTATTATCTGATATTTTAAGGTCACTGCAGTAATCTCTGCAAAAAATATTTTAGAATATTGGTTATTAAAATCAAAACATTAAAAAAATGGACATATAATCATAGGAAGTGAAAGTGAGAATACTGGTTTTTTTGTTTGTTTTTTGTTTTTACTAGCTATACAACTTTGTAAGCCATTGAACTGCTTGTTACCTCCACTACCTCATTTCTACAAAACAATACTTTGACAGTAAGTGGTATTATAGATAATATACATTAAGCACTTGAATCCTGGACTATCGGTGACCATAAAATGTTAGCTTTTGTTATTCTTATTACACTATTATTACTGTATGTTGTAGGTTTGCAGTTTTCATATAGAAATTGACTAAGAAATATAAAAACATGTATTTATTCATTAAATATCAAACATCCATTATATGTTAACATTTTATAAGGAATTATATATATATATATATATATATATATATTTAAAGATTTTATTGGGGAATTGAGGGAGGGGAACAGCACTGGGGAATCGGGGGAAGGGGAACAGACAAGTTGCTGTCCTTTTGTTCTTCAGTCTAGTTGTGGAGGACATTGCTTCACTGGCCCATGTTGGTATTATCATTGCGCAATTCCCGGGCGAGGCAGATCAGTCGCCGGCCTCTGGATGGCCTTGGCGGCTCACACTGGCTGCCAGCCGCTCACGCTGGCTGCTGGCCACACACTGTAGCTTATGGCAACCCACTGCAGCAGGGGCTGCAGCCTACGCTGTTGCTAGCGACTTACGGCAGCCCAGGTCCAGGTTGAGCTGTTGTTCACCATCTTAGCTGTAGAGGGCAGTGTCACTGGCCCTCATGTGGGATCTGAACCGGGGTCCTGCTGCTCAGAGCTGGCATCGCAAGCCAGCTCTTAACTAATGCGCCACTCGGCCAGCCCAGAAATTACTATATTTTCAAAAAAAAAAAAAAACCTAGTAGAAAAAGTGACATCAATTTAAGTATTTGCAAATCTCTTTAATTCCTGACTTAATAAAAGACAAGTGTGCCTCTTCATTCAGTCAACTGCAAGATTTTGTTTTGGCACATGAAAAATATATTGGGTTGTTGGAAAAGTCATGACGTATTTTTTCTATGTTTTTTATTGCAAAAATGCGTCATGACTTTTCTGACAACCCAATACATTCTCATACAGATATGCAGTTGGAAGTAGAGGATTATTTCAATAATCTCAGATAACTGTGTCTATTCTTTTTTGTATACCATACCAAAATTTGATAATTTGTAATTTTTTGATTGTTAGTTATAATATGGAATTTGAAACCATGTCAACGAACTTTTGTACCGTTACTTTAAAATTCAATGTCCTACCTTACACTTTAAATGAGTCTTTTATCTATCTACAATTTTATAACATCATTAATTGGTTATCTGGAAAATGAGTTATGTAAATCTTCCAAATGATGACACATTTCATCAGACAATAGTGAAAATTCACATTTATTAGTATCATCAGTGATTTCAAAAGATAAGTCAACTGCTGGGAAGGTGTTATGCTCACAGTAATAGATACAACTTTCCCAAAATTCTAACTTTTGTTTGAAAACTCAGATTTTGTCATTGGCAACAAATATTCAGTTGTTTTCTTCAAAGTAAAAGGCTCATTTGATTTTCGAGAAAATGTTTTCCAAATATCCAAATCATATTTTAATATTATTTTCAACCTATTTCGGCTCTGAATTCAAACAATCAAAATAGTATTTTTCTGTAAGACATCTAAGTTATCCAGATATGTCATAGATCTTGCATTTTTATCGCACAGAGTATTAAAAGACATATATTCCAGGGTAAAGCTTAAATAAAATGAATAATTTTTACTGCTTCAATTAAGGATATTTTAAAGTGCAACTGGCTTTTTCCACAATGGTAGTGCCTGGCAATGAAGATTCCAATGGCATTTTAGTGCCACTGCCTTGATTCCTGTTAAGGTATCAGATCACCATTGTTTTTGTACTGTCAGGTCAAATGACAATATGACCAAACACACACACATCATCTGACATTCTTAGGAAAATAGCTTTGACCTTGTGGATTCTCTGAAAGGGCCTGTGGAACCCACAGGGTTCTGACAACCATACTTTAAGAACTGCTATCCTAAATGTTTTGGAAAGTCAGAATAAATATAAGGCAACATAAATATGAGAACAATTATAATAACTAGGTTAATACAACCAACAGATTGGATAATGAAATAGTCAAGACAAAAATTAAATTAAAGAGCAAACATTTTCAGATGTAAGTCTATTACCTAAATACAAAAACCTCAGAAGAGAGAGAGGAAAAGAACGTCAGAACTTCAAAAACAAAACAAGAAAACACTTCTCGGTTCATGGAAAATTTTAATTTAGAAAAGCAAGGTTTAGAAAGTTTATATGATTTATATTCATTTCTTTTTGACAGAGCTAAAATTGACTTCTTCCCTTAATGGTTGGCTGTTTTGACTAGCCTGATAGTCAAAAGGCCCGTATATTGAATTATCATCTCAAGAATTCAAAGCTGATGGCAAAGCTTTAGAAGGAATAAATAAAATGTTGCAAAAATTTTTAGCATTCTATGTTATTATATAAAAGGCATTTCTAAAATTATCTTTGCTCATTTAATTATAAAAATAACTTTATCAGTGGTATTTAATATTTTAAAGGTGAGGAAATTGAGATTCAAAGATATAAAAAAGATTTGCCTAAAGGTACCTAAAAAGCAAATGGTTAAGTCTTGAGAAGCCAAGTCTTGACATCCTTAATTAGTGTGTTTTAACCATACAATATGCTTTGAACTTACACTTTGGGGACTTTGTTACTGCAAAGCTGCAGGCCAAAATCAACTTTGACCTCTACCACCAACAGAAGAATTCTAGTGTTGTGAGCAATTAATTTAGACAATGTCATCATTCCTTTTTTTTTTTATTCTTGCTGGCTGGGTTGTGATCCATTTTGAAGTAGTGAAAAGATATAATTGATCTTCAAGATAGTATTGACTAATTCTGATGACAGCAAATATCAAACATATGTTTGATAGTCTCATGTTTACTAATGGCAAAGCTGTGAGTGTTGAAAGTACAAGTGAGGAGATTTGTTGAATTAGGATGGAAACGACGGTGAAGGAATTTTAAAATGGAAATATGAGAAAACATTGAATGTTTTGTCAGTGGAATGAGTTCTCCAGAACTAAGAATGATCTAGAAGGATCACAGAAAATCACCCACTATGTGGAGTGTGTGCCTATGCAACAGGCAATAAGCAGCAAGAGACTGATTGGAATATTTGAGAGGCGCATATGTGGCTAGACAGACAGCATACATGCTGGTTGCTTGTTAGCTGAATGATCATTTAGCACAGGGCTGGGACCTTGAGGACTTCATATAACCACCCTTTCTTAGTTTCTTGTCCCAAAGGGAACCATCTGTGGTTACTAAAACTGCTAAATTGTTCCCCAAAGATATGTGGGGAGACCTGCTGATACACTTTCTAGGAGGTACTGTTTCTCCAAAAGAGATGACACAATGATCGTTATTTAATCTCTTAGGAAAATGATTCCTCAGAAAAGTGAAGCAGCAAGGTGGATACTTCTTTGGATGACTTTAAAGAAACAAATCAAACTTCCATTTGCTGAAAATACCTTCAGGGCATGACAGCTATAAACTCTTTCAGTCACTTTCTGTTTCTGGCCAAATGGACTTCGTAGCTTAAAACGCTTTGACACAAAAAGACTTTCAGTATTAGAAATTTGGCGAATTATTTCTTTCTAGAAAACTGAAAATGAGTTTGTTTTCATTCTGTTCAAGAAATGCACACAGGTCATACATCACAGATTAGTACTGAACTATAGGTGATCACATATTGTTTTCCTTCTCATTCTAATTCCTCTTCTTTGAAATCCCTTTCTCATTTCTGATTATCCAAGAAAGATAGCAAAATTAATCCATGTTTTAGACGTTTCATCTTTATCACTGTGTGCCTTTTGAAGGCAGGAATGCATCTATATTCTCAATGTTTTCCTTTTGCAATAGTTTTAAAATTGAGGAAATTGCAAAAACATTATTAATCAGGATCAAACAGCTTAATGTGCTTAGGAATGAACAAAAATGGTTCTATCTTTAAATTATTTTAAAATAACTGCTTTTTAATACCCTTTATTAAATAACAATTCTTCTTCCTCCCCCTCCTACTACAACCATAAACAATAACTTTTATTTAGAGCCCGTATCTTACTAAAAACTATGGTACGTATTTTGCATGCATTATCTCATTTAAAATTTATACCAACTCTATGGGAGATAGTTTCATTTTCCAAGTAAAGATACTAAGCACAGAGAAGTTGAGTAACATGATCATAACAATGAAGATGTGGGAATCAGACTCAGATAGTCTTGCTCCAGAGTTTCCTACACCGTTTCTCATTAATAATAGTGACAGAAATATATGACAGCTGTTCTTTATCACATACACTTCTGTGGTATAGAGTATTTATTATAGAGTATTTTTGAATGATAAATATAATCATGCATGCAAAGGGCTTAACACATTGAGGGGACGCTCATTGGTTTGTCCTACAAGCTACAACACTGCTTCCCTTCTGTGGTATTTGCTCCATCCCTAAACACACAGGCACATTCCAGTCTTCCAATCAGTCTTATTGATACTGAATATGGCTTAGGCCACAGAAATGGCCCACCTGCTAAACTAAACAAAGTCCATTGCTTATGAATTGGGAATTGGAATTGAGAGATATTTAACCTCTCTGTGAATACCTGGACTTTTACCATATTTTCCATCTTGTCTGATGGAGAAGCACAGAAAGCCAATCTGCATGGTCTGCTATCTATCTATCTATCTATCTATCTATCTATCTATCTATCTATCTATCATCTATTTATTTATTTAGCTGAACCATCATGCCACCTGTTGGCAACTCAGCAGCAGCTCAGCTCGGGCTGTGAATCGAACATGTGAACCTGTTGCTCAGACCTCATACTCCTGAATGAGCTCTTAACCAACTGAGCCACTCAGCTGGCCCTCATGGTCTGCTATTTAATAATTGGGTGAGATGAGTGAAGACGCTATCTTCACTCATAAAAGAGAAAAACTTTTATCTGGGATAGAGGGACGTATTATCACTTCACCGTACTTTCAATCTCTTCTTACAGTGTTACTGTCTAAGTAGGTTAATGTATAAATATGTTAATATTCGGTGAGTTACTACTCTGTCCTTAATATTCTCTTTCAACCTAAAACTGATTAAAGCAATTTGAAGTTGCTCAAAGTTACTTGTATCGAAAAAGTGCTAATAAGATTGCAGGTGTTATTGTTAATAACATGATTTAAAAATATTCTCCATATATTTATAGTTTCTACAATAACTACATATTTATTCATCACCTACTGTGTGCCAGGCAATGGGTTTTATGTTGAGCATTGAAAGGTAAGTCAAACAGACACAGGCATGGCTCCACTGTAGAAAGTACGTAAAATAAAACGTGGCTGGTGCTCTGTTAAGGGGAAAGGCAGGATTCTATGAGATAGTCAGCAAGGATGTCCAATCCAGGGACGAAGGGAAAGAAATTCCCCATCAAGGAGTTTGAAGTTGGGTTTGGGGAAGGGGAGGGGTATGTCTGAGTATAGTCTAAAATAGAAAATTAATGAGTAAAAAGAGGGAATTGGGGGAAAACAGTGCATTTAGGAACTGAGAGAAGTTTAGCGTGGCTGGAATTTAGAACAAAGGTTGACTAGCTTTTTCTTAACACGTTAAGCACCATGTCAGTCACTGGTGACTGACACTATACTTTCCATTCGGACCACGTCATATACAATTTAAAAAACTATATTCTTCTATTAGGAAGACTAATTTCACTTGAATCGCTTTCACCCATTTCTTCCACTGACATTGCCACTGTAATGGGTAAAGAAAAAATTTTTAAACTGCACTGGAACATGAACCACAGACAACTGACTGACGAAAAAGCATATCGGTGAAATCGGATATCACGGGCTAAACCGAAAGGAAGACAAAACAGGCTTGGCGCTTAACGTATTAAAGGGCCAGACAGTCAGTGACTCCAGCTCGGGTGGGTTATAAGGTCTATGCCGCAACTACACAACTCTGCCTTTATGGAGAAAGACAATATGTCAACAAATGAGTGTGGCTGTCTTCCAATAAAACTTTATGTAGAAAGCAGGCAGTCTGTAGGCTGTAGTTGGATGGCCCCTGACTTGGAGTGCAGGTGACCATATTGATAAACTGAGACCTAGTGAAAGAGCATTTGAAAGCTATGATATAAAGTACACATTATCACGAGGACAGTCCTGAGCCATTGGTTAGTATTTAGCAGATGAGAAACACATTTTAGGAGCTCTCTGGTTACAGAAAGAAGACGAGATTGAGAAGTAAGGGGGAAATGCTGGAGGGAGGGGGATCAAGCAGGGGTAGTTTAGGTGACAGAAGGCAGTGGCCTGTTCTAGGACAAAGGCAGCAGATATAACTGACACTCAGAAGATAAGTTCTACTTGGCAGGAATTAGTGATAGATTATAAGTTAGACATAAAGGAAAGGGAAACAGGACAACTCACAGGTTTCAAGACTGGGCATCTGGATGGTATTTTCTTCACCAAGGCAACACAGGGAGTTCTCCAAAGAGAATAAATGTTTAGGAGATACTGAATTTGAAGCACATAAAGAGATATTCCTGTTAGGTTTCCATAAATATGAATCTCATATTTAAATATATAGGGTAGACCTAAAGTCTGGAAGTAGATATGTTGTTAGACCCTATATTGTAGTGTCATGTCAATAAACCACATGTTATGTCTATTTTGTTTCTAGATGTTATGGCCAACTTGTAGGTTTGAAGGCATCACCTCAAGCTATAGACATGGACTAGATGGGTGGTATGTCTGTAGACACAGAATAAGAAGAGAAGAGAACCTAAGCTAGCAACGTCCTGTAAGATCTGCAGAAGAAAAGAAGCTTATGAAAGAGACTGTGAATATGCATCAGGGAGGAAAAAATTCAGAATAGTGTGTCATCAAGCAAGAGGAGGCAAAGAGTATCAGAGGAGGGTGTGATCAGGAGTATCAAACACTGAAGAAAATTTAAGCAGGAGAAGCTGCTTAAGGGCAGAGTCACCCATGAAGCTAAGCATATGCTCTGTTAATAGAAATTTCTCACAAGGTAATATATATCCCCTGTTTTCAAGAAGAAAACAAAAAATTCAGATATTCGCATGAAGAAATTAAAAAGTAACTCAGATCAATTTTTATGAGCCTTCTTTGGATTCTAAGAATGATTTCTTTAAGAGGTATAAAATGTGAGATATTAACAATACAAGCTTCTGAATTTTTCTTCAATACTTTAGCCTAGATTAGTAGAAATTATATTAATTTGAATATTGTGTGTGTGTCTGTATATGTCTGCTAGAGAGGGAGTCAAAAATTAGGGAAATAAAAATAAAGAACACTCTTAGATTATTGAATAGAATTTCAAAAAATTACATGAAAATGGAAGTGGGGATAAAAATGTACATTAGGGGTAGAGAAAGGGGGATTACATAAGAGAAAAATAAAATGGGCAGGAAGTAAAAAGGTCAATCTTAAAAAGTACGTGAGAGGGCTGGCCAAGTGATGCAGTTGGTAAGAGTGCGAGCTCTGAACAACAGGGTTGCCGGTTCGATTCCCACATGCGCCAGTAAGCTGCACCCTCTACAGCTAAGGTTGTGAACAACAGCTTGACCTGAAGCTGGGCTGCCACGAGTCACTGGCGACGGCGTAGGCTGCAGTGGGCTAGCGTGAGCCAGTGTGAGCGGCCGTCCAATGGCCGGCAAGTGACTGCCTCACCTGGGAAGAGCGCAATGATAATACCAACAGGGGCCAGTGAAGCGACGTCCTCCACAACTAGACTGAAGAACAAAAGGATAACAACTTGGCTGTTCCCTTTCCCCAATTCCCCAATAAATCTTAAAAAAAAAAATATAAGTACGTGAGAAAAATGTTACCATATTAAGATATGTTTTCCCAGAAATTGTATTAGAGTATTAAAGAGAATAAATGATGATATTAAGACATACTATGAGTTACATACATTCTTATGTGTAAATATACACATATGTATCTGTACATATCTATGCATATCTACCAGTGTGTATATGTGTGTCTATATAATATACATAAAAACATACATATATAGAGTATGTTTGTATGTGTACACATATCACTAATGCAAATATACAATTCTTCATTGTTAAATGCATGACTAGTTCCAACAAAAGCAAAGTCTAGAATTCTTTTATTCACTATTGTATTCCCATATCAGTACATAGCTTAGCACAGCGTAGCTGCTCAGTAAGTATATGAATGAGTAAATGAATGAAAGAGCAGGATTCTCTTTCAGTTTTATAGTTATTGTTCCACTGGGTTCCATTAGTTTTGCATGGAATTAACCGAGAGCAGTCCTGACCCCAATTCAGAACTGTTATCATCCACATAAGCTATAAAACAAAATAACATAAAACCAACCTTGGTGCTAAGAATGTATAGCCAGATTCTTCAAAATTATCCGGCTTCAGTGTCTCTGAATCTGCAAAGATAATGTTATAGGGTTAGATAAGCAATCCAGAATACACAGCCTAAGATTCTACGACTATCAGAAGGCATTAGAAATAATAAAATTAAAAAGTTTAGTTTTTCTAATAAGAAAAAAATAAAAATAGACTACTTACATCCAAAATTGAAACCCATCAATGAATATAAATTTACTCCATACTTACAAAAATAAACTCAATTTTAATTTCATAACATGGGTTACAACCATTATATCAGAGAAAATGCTATATTTATATTTTTACCATTTACTAATTGTACCATAACCAAGGTATCCTTTAAAAAGTGATTTATATCAATATTACATTTAAAATGTCAACATATAAAAGTACCAATATTATGGTAAGATTTCAATAAACCATTAATGCCTTTAGTGAACTGATAACATTGTTCACATTTGTATGAATTAGTAAGTGGAAGGATAAAAACACACAAGTATTTAACTCTAAGAATAAACTTGAATGTGAAACAGGTTGCATATGAAAACACAAACATAATCTTCCCCCCTTTTTGGCTGCTAAGGTTTGAGTCATCATGGAGGAAAATCTAGCACATGTGAAGCACAGAGGATAATATCCAATAGGAATGGAAAGATCAGTGGAAATGTCAAGTGTACTACACAGAAAAAAGTTGAGCAACAAGAAAATACTTGCCCTTCATTTTGCCCTTTTTTGCTGTGAAAATCCATCAGAAAGAGAAAGCAGGGAAACAAAAAAAAAAGAGGGTAAAGCAAAGGGGGTCACAAACAATATTTTATTCAATGATTTTCTTGAATAAAAATATTGTGCATTGATCAAAGGTTTATTTATGTACAGCTGTAGTCTGTAAAGAAAGACACATATTTTTGAAGACTGGAAAGTATGACCCATCAATTACTACTAGAGCACCCTCTCTGTACTGTGGTTATTTCAAGGGTCTATTTTGCAAAGTGGTTAATGCAGGTGCAACATCGATGATATAAGCCTATGAACAGAAGCATTTACCAATCATCAAAACCCACTTGTCATCATCCCCTCATTTATCAAGAGAAGAACTAGCTCATGCAAAGTTGCTGTTTACTAAAAGACCATCATATCTATCAAGTTAAAGTGATATAAATGTATAAATTACCACAATGTATTATGAGAACAAGGACTTCAGAGAGCAAAACACAACCGACAGAAATGAAAGAACTAGTTTACTTAAGGTCAGTTATAAAAAGTACTGGATTTTGCCGTGTATAATGCATACTTTTTAGCCCAAATTTGTGAGGGAAAAATAAGGATGTGCATTATACACGGGTAGTACTAATTCCATATCTATATAAATGTTTTTAATTCTCTTATTTATGCTTATGAGTTAAAAGCATAACTCTAGAAATCAATAACAAGATCTGTATGCAAAATAATACCCTGGAATATGATAATCCCAGGTTTTGTTGAATTTATGACAAACGCAACGACGAAGAGCTCTTGGCCTTCTATGATGCACAAATATTGTAAATTTGTTACCAGTACATAAAATTTCTTGTACCATAATATATTAAAAAATACATGCTAAAATTCATTTATAATATAAAAAAAACAAATACTTAAATGTAAACAAATAAAAACTTGAATTCAAAAATTAAAATGAAAGTTTTTTCCCCCGAAAGTTTGGGCCAAAAATGTGGGTGTGTATTATACATGGGAGCGCATTATACATGGCAAAATATGGTATATAAAAATATTTTATATATATATATGTATGTATTTTACTCTATTGTACCAGAAATAATTTAGGTTGTTAGTAATAATTGAGAGATGTGCAAAGGATATGATGGTCATTTTACTTTATTAAATTGTTACCCAAATCAAAATAAAAATTAATGACTTGAAATATGCACTAGTATTAATAATACTCCACATTCTAAATGATGCTTAAAGAAAAAATCTAATCCATTGGAGTTACCGAAGACATTAATTTGGATTATGAGAAGAAAGTTAATCAACAAACCAAAGCCAAAGACCAGTGCAATTTAATGTATTCAGACAAAGTAGAAGATGTGGAGCACAATATTATTCTTGCGAAAAGCAACAACAACAACAAAAAAATAGAAGAAAAGAAAGAAAAGATAAAGCTTTACTAGCACAGTGCCATGAGTAGAGACTACGTGAAACATTTTGCGCCAGCTAGCAGACCCTTAAAACAACAGAAACAGAGGACACAGCACCGCAATGATTCTATGAGCACAAAGCAAGGCAGGGAAGGATGGTGGGGACTGCCAGTGAGACTGGAGTACCTGCTCATATTCTATCCATGTAGAATATTTCTTGTTCCTTGCATGTTTGGAATGGGTTAGAATCATTGCCGTAGATTTGGTAATAACACCTACTAAACTGTATAAGCCTTGGGTATTGCAAAATCTAGACGTCTTTAAACATCTGATACTCAAAGATAACAAATAGACCCTAAAGTCGCTTTCACAGTACTTACATCTGGCCTGAGTTATTGTCTCTTCTATTTTGGCTTTTATATAGTAAAAACTGTAGGTTGGTAATACCAAGGCCAAACTGCAATAGAAACAAGAGAAGCATAAACACAAACAAACAAAAATGAAACATAACTTAAAACAAAAAAAGACACATCAAGTTCATGAAAAATTCAAAGATCTTTCTCATGGAAAAGACATATTACTTTGACAGTACAATGCATTCAGCTAATAGAGTATTTAATTCGGTCTTGCCATCCTGAGTCATCCAGTTCTTCACAATGTAGGAAATCAGAAGAGACATATGGAAAACAAGCTTCTAAATGTGCCCATAAATTAGCTGAGAAAGAAATGTCATGGGTACTATATTCCAGAAAAGTGTATTAAAACACTTTGAGTGTGGAAAACTATAGAATAATACTAGGGTATATTTAAACACAGTAAATAAACTTAAGGAATTATATATATTGTTAAAGTGCTTTGTAGCAAATGTACACTATTACAAATCACAAACGTAAGTATTATCATTTCTATTACACAATGTATACCATCATCTGAAATATATTGTTTTTGAGGAGTTAAATACCTATTATTTTAAAACTTGTCTTTAGACAAGTCCACAGTGTCCGTTAATGGGAAAATTCAAATTCTTTTTATAGCACTAAGAAAGGTTTCCTGCTCATCCCATTGGTTTTTACCCAATAGTGTAACTAAGGCATGATATTTTATTTCAAGTTCATTTACTGAGGATATTCTATAGCACTTGGTAAATTGCTACTAAATAGGACATACGTCTTGAGCTCACTACTTTACAAGAGTCAGGGGTCTGGCTACTCTAGACTTATGGTAGATGTACAAACTGGAGGAGAGGTCCAGTGCAAATCTTAAGTCAAGCTCAGAGCGTTTCAACACAGGACTGTCAGACAAGCCTGCCATCAAACCTGTCTTAATGACTGAACAAAAGCAAAAAGCCGACAGGCAGGTTAACCTGACTATTTGGAAGTTGCCAATTAACAAAACACATAATGCATTAGAGCTGTTAAAAAATGTCAATATTTGAATATCATGCAGTTTCCAATAATACAATTATGTATGTGTAACTCTTTTACTCTCACAATGGCTAATATATATGTATAGGATATAACTGATTGTTCCATTTCCACATTTACTGTTGCAAATGACCTTTGCAATGCTTTGAATATGAATGTAGAAAGAAACTTAGGAACTAATAGGCGCAAAAAAAAATGAGGGTATCTCAAAGATTCCCAGTGCAACTGTTTTCAAAATGTGATGCTAGATTAATTTGACCAGCAGAGTCACTCAACCTTCACATTTAATATTTAATATAACATTTTGCAATGTACAGGAAAAAATGTGCATATCTAGGCTTCTAGTTTTTCTAGGCATTTGGAAGAGATCTTCTTTTAAATAACTCAAGCCTCATGTTTCACAGGGTTTTGGAATGAATGGAATCCAAACTATAATCTCATTACATAATTTTTACGGACAATACAAAATAGAATAAAACCATAAAATTTCAGTTTTCCTTCTTAAGAACATATATTAAAAATTCATTCTACAAAGAAGAAAAAGCAAGGGTTTATTTGCTACAATTTAATTATGCAGTCAAGATAGCAAAATGAGTGGGTGCTTGTTACCTCAAGTTCCCCAAAAATCTTTCTCCCTCACTAATAATTCATAGACTTTCCTTATAGCTAAAAAAGGTCAGAGAAATAAAATGCTATGTAGATTTAATAAAAATCTCTACATTCATTTTATAGGTAACTTCCTTTCAGTGGTGGAAGAGATTAAAATAAAAATAAGCAGTGCAATTAGTCTGAAAGCAAGATGACCTTTCATGATTCACTTGCCATTTATAAAACGTAGAGCAGAATTACCGAGCATTTGAAGACAGTCTTCCAGAAATTTCTCTCAAGGGAAATTAGGACATTTTTTATGACATCATCAGCATTTATTGCCAAGAGAAACTTCTAATTAAAACTGATAACATTATATCATGCGGCTGCTACAGTGTCACTCTGTAAGCTTGGGTTACATCTCATGTACCATATAAAAAATAGTGTGGAAACTCATGAGGACCACAATAGAAGTTTTAAAGTTGACAGATCAAATATACATCTTATTGGGCCCTGCATGTCTCAGGTTATTATGAATAGCTACACTCTATTCTATAGAAAATACAGTTACACGTAATTTGATTATTTTCATCTCAAGGCAACTGTTGTTTCTTCAACCTACAGCAGCCATGCTTTACTGACATTCTGAGTCAATGATGCTGTCATATGCAGTGTCTGCTGCCACTCTTCCTATAAAACCGATAGACCACGGTTGCTTTATTGTCTCCTAAGGATTAAAATCAGATAGAGCCAGTGGACACTGGATGGATGGTAGAACCCATGCACTATTTTTGTGACTCACATCAACATGCTTAACTAGTTAAATGGAATATATCACGCTTTTCAACTAGATCATTTATCACTATAAAACTAAACTCTTCATTAAAAATGAGAGAATTCTATTAATATAATTCATTACTATATTTCAAAATGTGGTGGTGAAATTATATCAAGGCTTAAGGAGATAGTAACCACTAAGTAAAATTTGGTACCTCATTCATTAAATCAAAACATGCCATTTTTCTTCAACTGAGATGTAATATTTTGTTTTTAAATTGTTATTTGTGAATTTATTTACACAGAGGTTCAGCAAAGTCCCTATAATGGAAAGAGATTTAATATGGTTCAAAGTTGTAGATTTGGGAAGGGAATGTCTGAGGAAAACATGCAGAGAACAGTGATTTGTATGGGAAGGGCCGTGGGAATAAAGACAGGGCAGATGGGTGGGGCTAGAAATGCGTGACGTGAATATTAGGCTTGGAAGTCCAAATTTAAGTTGGATGAACATGAGAAGAGACCAAAGTTTTGAGAACAAGGAATGATATACAGAGCTGGAGAAAAGAGCATTAATCTGGCCACGCCGTGTGTTATGACCGGGTGTGTGAGGGAAAGAGGTTGATGTAGGAACATGAGCCCTCTACAGACACATTTAAGGGAGGTATAATGAGAATTTAATATACTTTCAACGTGTAATTTTGACTGCAGTAGGACCAACCATCATTGCTGACTCATTATCAGGGTCAAAACGAAACAGTGTTTCTAACTTAGAATCTGTCCATCTGAGAAACAAAGGCAGAGAATGCAGTCCACACAGTGCATCCAATACTTTGTCCTGAAATCATTTGAAGAGATAGGGCTCCCAGATTTGCTCTCTTCCATTACACCTTTGAAAAGTTTATTCAAAATAGGAAAGCTGGCAATAATCATGGAAGAGGAAAAAAAATGACTATGTGTGTACATAAAGATAGTATGTCTGTACAGAGATGCCCAATAGAAATGAGAGATGGAAATCAGTAGACAGATAGAAGTAGAACAATTGAAACAGTCATTCTGGTATTTCTCAATAGGTTCAAAAGAATGTCAAAACTGAAAAAGTGGAGAAGGACTGGCATTAGTGTATTACGACATTAATATCTATGTTCCCCTCTTCTGTCTCTGTTCTGTATGCCATCCTAGGTACACAGAAGGCAAGTTTCCTTTGATAACACTGCTATAGCTCTAGGGAAATCCCCGGCACTCTGGAATCCCCTGAAAGGTTATGTGTATGCTGTGTGTGTGAGGGGTGTTTTCTGGTTTCATTAGGAAAGGAATAGTTGAATCCACCATAGGCTATTGATTAGGCTACATATTAATTGCATATTAATATGTAGTCAAACAGTCCTTCAGACTTGAATATTTCAGTGGAAGTTTGGACACCATTCTTTGAATTCAACAGGATAAGACAAATTGAAAACCTCAATCTTTAATTTTGTAAATCTTTGTAGAATGTCTACTATATCCCACTGTGTCATGAGCTAGGGATTTAGAAGTAAATGAATGAGCAGCCAACAATCTTAGAACCTAACAAGCTTACAACCTTGCCCCCTTGGAATTTACGAGTGAGGGAAGACAAGCAATAAATAGAAATACATTTCTGTATATATGCTTCACGTACATGTATATGTGTGTGCATGAGCGTATATGCATATGTTGTGTCAAATGGTGATGAGTTATTTATGGAGAATACAAAGCAGAGGAGTGAGACAGGGAGAGTGAGGAGGCACTTTACATTTTAAATAAGACTACTGAGGAAGGCCTTCCTGAGGAAATGAACAGTGAGTATTGGTGTCAAGTTGAGGGGTGAGGATGTGAACATCTGGGAATAAGTCATCCTAGGCAGAAATAACTGCAGGTGCCAATGCCCTGAGGCAGAAGTGTCTAGGCTTTATGAGAGTAGCAAGGAGCAGAGCACAGCTAAAGCTCAAGGTGTTCAGTAGAGAATCTGGGAGAGGCCGGATGCTGTAGGCCTTGGATAGCCATGGCAGTCTTTGGCTTTTCAAGTGAATGAGACAGCCAATGATTGGCGGATTTTGAGTAAAGAAATGAAACTGTCTAACTCAAGTATTAATAATATCACTCTTGTTATTGTGTTGAGAACAGAACCAGAGATAGGAGATGGAGATACAGATGCAAGCAGTTATCTACTATGGGGGACAGCGTTCTCTTTCGACTATTTCTATTTTTCTCATCAAAATAGGAAGCAAAGACATCACCTGAGAGGATTTGGATGGAAAAGTGTTATGGGTTTAAGGAGAGAACAGAAGCTATGAAAAGTCACCTAGGAGCTTCCTAAAGTTATTAGACTGTTGAGATCACCAGGCACCACTAAAATCTACTTGAGGCTAGAGTTCATGAACTTTAAGTGATATATTAGTCAGAGAGTATGTTTTTTTTTTTCCCATTTGTAGCTGTGTGGGTGCAGTACTGTGTTGGGAATAATTTGAATATAACCAGGATTGGGATTTGCCAAACTGCCATTTGCCAAACCTAAATATGATGAAAGGAGTTGATGGTGTGTGTCAAAGAGAAAACGTAATATATCCCAAGGAATTTATGCTGAATAAAGATGGGGGAGGGGGAAGACACGAAGAAGGCCAAGGCAGTGAAACGGCAGAAGGGATTGATGGGTTTCAGGTCTCAAATGAGACAAAGGATTGTTACAGCTGGGCTGTCAGAAGGAGGGGTGGAAAGCTAAAATGCAGTAATTTGCGAGTTGCATAAAAAAATTAAAATTATGAAGGAGTGATGTCTTAACAATATAAGAGTTACAAAACATCACCGTGGACTAGGTACCTAAGATACGGGGATGGCAAGATCATTAGAGGAGGGGAGATTAAAAAAATAAAAGTCCAGGTATTAGAATAATCATCTATGTCGGTACTATTTAAAGTGTGGTCCATGGACTGGGCCCATTGGCAAACTATTACCAGCTCGAGACTGGTTCAGCATAGAAATTGAGTAAGCATTTAGAAAATTTTACAGCAATTTGACAAAATAATTTTATGTCTGTTGAACCTAATAAAAGTTTCTAGCTTTAGTTTTTATCTCTTTTTAAAGTTTATTTTGGTAAATAATTTCTGTTTTATTTTACCTAAGTGTGGTTATGTCATAGTTTGAGAAACAGTGATCTAAACAGTGAGCCAGGAACTGAAATCTTAAATGAATGAGAGGGAGATGACTTAAAAGAAAGGAACGGTGGGTGGTATGGTCTGGTGCCATGAGATTCAAAGAGGGGGGTTTTAGGGAGGAGGGATTGAGAATGAGGAACAAGAAGGTAATACTCATATCAGCCTCAGTATTAAGAGGTTGTAGGAAGGACCACAGGGAAAGCTATGACCTCAGAGAAGAGTTAGAGCAAAGAAAGTAGAGACAATGCTCAACAAGTGTCGAGGAATGGAGAATTTCCTTACAGAGCACTACTCTGTCCAGTTTTCATAAGGCCCAGTCAACTGGAGGGATTGGGACATTGCAGAATTGTTACTCATGGGTGTAAATTGTATCAACTGAGCATTTTATATCAGATTATACTATGATATAATAAGTTTTATTTTAAAATTAATTTCCAATCTAGAATGTAAGTAATATAAAGCAGTTTAAATCAGGAGGTCAGTGGATGTGATGACTACAAATTCAGGGCATTTTGTCAACATTTATTGTTACTAACATAAATATACAAAATATCAAATGTCTTTATATCACTTATGTTTTCATTTCTAAATTTTATACTACTAGCTTTTCCCCATCTTTTCCACTTTGCAAACAAGAGTATATGATTTTAAACATTTTAATGTTGGAAAGGGTAACATTTCTGTTTTAATTACATTGAAAATAGCTTATGAAAATGTGAAGACTTAATATTCAGCCATTGGAACAATGGCTACTAAAACTAGGTGAAAGACATAGAAGTGACAACTTCTATACAATATACATATAAATATAGTCAATTACCTGTAATCTGTGCCATTGACAGGCGTCCATGTATATGTCCTGTTTCCTTTGTCAATGTATCTCTAGAAAAAAAAAAGGTTGGCATGATTATCACTGCCTTTAATTCTATGTAAATTTACATAAGAGCAGAACATTAGGATCTCTGTGGTCATTCAACGTCCTTCATCCCAAATGTCCAATCTATTCTATTCCTCAAGTATTTGTTCTGTTATGGGTCTATGTCTGTGTGAAGTAAAATTTTAGCACAAAAACGAACACCCACATGATAAACTTCAAGGACTTCAAAGTGTAAAATCTTAGTAATTTATGCCACATTGTTAAACTGAAAACAGTGTTTTCTGAAAAATAAACTGTAATAATGAAATAGAATTATGAAATGTAAGATAAGGCTCTGATATCCCCATACTAGAGTATATTTAAGAGAAATTGGTAATATTAGGAAATCAATGCAGTATGTCTGGATTGAAATGTATGATTAGCATGTTATTGTTCTTACTAAGCCATTAAGTTTCATCTATCATAAGAGACTAATTACTCAGTATCATTGAAGGTTAGAAAAACAACTAAATCTACTAGGAAAAGGAAGTACAGGGCTAAATAAGTCATGGATATAGAATTTTTTATATGCAGCTGAACAATGGGAAAGAAATTATCATTGTTTCTTTCATTAGATATACTGATGACACATTTATATCTTTAAATGTTTTATCTCCAGCCTCATCATCCTGGTCAGAATAGTAACATTCACTAAAGTATTAATATCATTTTGTGTTAGGCAATATAGTAAGCACTTTGTAGTCATTATCTCATCTAATCCACCCCTTGGAGTAGATACTATTATATTCCACAAATTGGACTTTAATTGGCAGGATGATGGAAAATCTATGATGCCAAATTCATTTTATAGCAACTACACAATGTTGCCTCTATATATCAAACACCCCTATGGCTTTATTTATGTGAGTGGCGAATGGGCGAAGAGAGGACAGGAAGTACTCAGGAGGTTTCTGGATTAGTAAAATTCTTAAAAGAAATGTTTCTGTACTTGTTACTACTCATTAAAAAAACAAAACAAGGGCCGGCTGAATGGCTCAGTTGGTTAAGAGCACAGCTCTGAGCAACAGGGTCGCCAGTTTGATTCCCACATGGGCCAGGGAGCTGTGCCTCAGCTGAGCTGCTGCTGAGCTGCCAACAGGTGGCAGGATGAGCTGGTGGGAGCACGTGCTCCTAACAATAAGGATGCTGGTTCGACTCCTGCATGGGATGGTGGGCTACACCCACCCGCAACTAAGATTGAACACGGCACCTTGAGCTGAGCTGCCCTGAACTGCTTACAGGCGGCCAAATGGCGACTGGATATGTAGCTGAGCTAGCTGCACCCTCCACAACTAAGATTGAAGGACAACAACTTGGCTGTTCCCCTTCCCCAATTCCCCAACACTGTTCCCCTTCCCCAATAAAATCTTAAAAACAAACAAATAAAACAAAACAAAAATAAACCTGGTAGACTAGTGTTATTCAGCAAGTTATAAAAATAGTATCAGATCAGGGAAACACACAAGTAATATTTTTTTCAATATTAGTAATAGGAAAAGTCTATAGGTGGATATTGATCAAAACATGCTATAGTAAATTGAAAGAAGAAAATATCAAAGTGATTTAATAGAAACAAAATTGATTTGCCAGCTGAGAAAAGAACGTGCAAGTCAGAGTTCTGGTTGGTAGAACGACAGGGAGAAGGTGGCAGGACTGCTGAGCAGCGCACACCTTTCCTCTCAGGAGTGAGCAGTAGACAGCACAGCTAAAGTCTAAGAAACAGAACTGAAGTTTCAACAGACATGGAAATTGATATATATCTCCCCTTGTGTTCTCATAATAGGGACCCCCGTTGATATTAAAATGAGGAAAGCCAGGTGCTAACGAAGGATAATATTTAGATCTTAGCTCCATTTTAGAAAAAGGTCTGCTGAGGAATTCAAGAGAAATGTTACATTTAAAAAGGATGATATAAAAGCTAAAATTGATTTTTCAGGCTCAAAAGCTTCTTTCTGGGTTCTATATCTTTTTATTTTTATGTATTTTTTTCTTTTTAAAAATTTTATTGGGGACCACTATTTTTTTTCCAGGACTCATCAGGTCCAAGTCAAGTAGTTGCCTCAATCTAGTTGTGGAGGGTGCAAATCAGTGGCCCATGTGGGGATCAAACCAGCAACCTTGGTGTTATGAGCACGGTGCTCTAACCAACTGAGCCAACCGGCCACCCCTATATATTTTTTCAAATACTCAAAGAGATGAATGTGTATTTACTCCATATGTGACTAATAATGGATAGACATACTCCTTACATAAAAAGAATTCTTCCATGTCAATGGAAGGACAATAAGTAATATGAGCTTATTACATACTTGTACCAGTGCTTTATGGGGATAGTTGTGTTATCTCTTGAGTTCATTTCAGATTTAAATGCAGGGTAATTATAATATAAAGTGAATAAATAGTAAAAGATAAATCAAGCCAGAAATAATTAAACAAATTAAAAAACCCCAAATAATTAATATATGTATGGGGCATTAACAATTAGAACACCCACATTAAATTGTGCTCTATTTCTTATAATAATAAAAATTGAGGTATAAAACATAATTTTCAAGAACATACTGTTACTGTTATAAGAATACATCAAGAAGTGTAAAGCAATGTTATTTTATAAAAATTTAAAGAATTAAAAACCTTATTTAAAGATTTAAGGCAAGAGTGCCTTAACATTATTTATTAAAGACATCCTTATTTTATAAATAAATATTGCTTTAATAGAAAACAAAGACAAACTACCTATATCAGTTATTATTAACATGCATATCTTTGTTGAAGAATAAGCCTGACTTAATTCTTACCTCATCTTGAGATTTGACCAGAGTTCTGAATGTTTTTTCTCCATCTTCTCCATCTATCATTTTATTTCGAATCTAAGAGAAAATGAAACAATTACTTTACTGCAGGTACTCAACTGACCTACCAAAGTATGATTATTAAAGTATTATACCTTATTTCAGGATAGATTGAATTTTTACTAGTTGTAGTTGTTCTCTGGGCATATTCTTTTAAAAATTATGACATGATAATAATTTTACATTATTTTAAAATAATAAAACATATCCTTAATATTTTCATCCAGTCATTAATTTTTGTAATGTAATTTAAAAGAGTGGTTAATTATTTTGTTAGACTGAGTGAGGGGAAACAGAGACTGAAGAGAGGCTAAATAATATTACAGTCACTCAGTTGCACGAGAGTCCAAAGACCAAGCTCTTCACCATTACATGATCCTCCTCTGTCATGTCAAAACACTTGACAACAAATATTCTTTAATCGTCTAAAACATCCCAGCACTTGCCTCAGTCGAGAGTAATTATAATAAAGAATTAAATTGTATTGTTCCATAAAGAGAGAATAAATGTGTAAAATGCGTGAAGCAAGTACACATTAAGACAAGTTATAAAAGAAATTGGTAGCCTTTGCATAGAAAGAGAAGGAGTTAATCCATCGGAAAGAATCTTAAAAGATCTCTGCTCTGGAGTGGAGTACAAGGGCCTGGTTCTGCAATTTACTAAGCTGAGTAATGGAGATGAGCTACTTAATCTCTTTGTTCCTCAAATATATCATCAGTACAACAGATATAATAATAATGATAATAATAATAATATCTACTTCAAAGGCTCTTGAGAATCCATCACTGACACATATCTTGTGCTTAATAAATATTATTACTGTTATTATTGATTATCATTATTCTTATGGAAGGCCCTCTCAGAGGCAATAACATGCAATTTTGATTTTGAAATAAAATAGAAATTTTCTGAGTAAAGAGTATTGACAAACATGGTCGTTTTTCTCTGTACATTGCTCATTGGGTTAGATAGTTAGATTCTCTTCAACTTTTCTTTCAATTCTATAGCAACTTCTTCCATATATGTGGTTTTTTTTAATTGAAATTTACAAGTTACATTTGTATTGAAATACTTAAAATGTTTCTACTGGTTGAATGGAAAAAAAACCAAATACTAAAGTCACACCCAACTTAAAATATTTATTCCTTTTCATATGATCTTTTGGATGAGCGACTCTAGTACCTAGACATTTTTAAAGATAAAAAACATTCATCTTTGTTTATATAGTACCTAAAGAGAGAACCTAACACAGTGAAGCCACTCAAAAGATGCTTGTGCAATGGGTGAATTCCAGCATCTGACCTGAGGGGATCATTCAGGCCTATGGATTACACTCACCTCCACTTTAATATTATTCTCTAGTTCTGCATCAAGGAAATCCAAAGTTACTGGCTCCTGAGATTTTGGGTTCTACACAGAAAATAATAATTAGGCAGATATGATACTGCAGAACAATGCTATATGTAGAATAATTCAATGGATGTTTAAATATAAAATTCTGTAAAAGTTACTTACCTAAGGTATATTAAATAGCTGACAAAATAATTGTATAAGGGTATATTCATATATTTAAATAATAAATAGGCCAGGAATTTGAGCTTTAAGTGCACAGACACATTTTAATTAATCACCAACTCAAGACAGTTTCATTTTGAGTGCTGTGTTAGATACTACATTTAGAATCACAAGTTCCGGGGAAAAATAACTTTTGAAGGTCCACTCACAACCTTTTTCTTTATAATTATTAGGATGGAAAGGAGCAAAATATAGCCAGGTGATGAGGAAAAATTTTTAGAAACTATGTTTGAATTTGGTAAGCAAAAGAAACTTCTAAATATATTCTTCCTTAAAATGTATAAAGGTGCAAGTTTGCTTCATATATTTGAATCTCAGAAATTTTACATTATATTTCATTAAGTCAATTAAGTAAATTTTAGAAGATAAAATGTGTGGTTAAGTCATAAGGATCTTAATAAAGATTAGCTATTGTAATTTAAGTCTAACTAGAATAATGACCCCTGGGTTCACTAAATACTATTTGCTGCTTTAACTTCTCCTACTACTCCTTCTTGCTGGTGTCCAACAGTAAAATTCACAATGGAACAAGGCAGTGAATATATCAAATGAAACTGTTAGGCTGGCATATTCACCTTCGATAACATTAAAAAAATTGTCAATTATAAAATGAAGACTTACTAAACTATTTGAAAAACAAAACTATACTGTTTTTTAAAAAATATTTGCTAAGTGAAACAACATATCATTGTGGAATTTCAAAGTTCACTACAGCAATAAAATCGTAAGAGCTGTCTATTGTTTTACAATTGCAAAATCTAAGAAACTGGATATTTAATGTTTACTAAAATAAATACCACTAAACTATGATAATTAATTAGATAGAAGTATTAAATTCAAATTATGTTGTATTAGTGCAAGGCCAATGGGATTTTAATAATTTCAGCCTTATAGGCTCTTCCAGAATATATTCAGATCATTAATTACTATTTTACACTGTTTTGGGAGGACTGCCTACCCAAGACAATAACAATAATTAAAATATATTGAAATTAACCATATTTTATTTCTCTCAAATGATGAATGACATGGTTGATATGGCATGTTTTTATAATTATGACAAAATGCCTTCCTTCACACAGTAACTCCATTTAAACAATGGAAATTTATGATTCCCATGGGTTTTGAGAATGAGGATTTTTAAAGGGAAATTTACAAAAATAATGTCAACTGTGTCTGGCACTTTTATTGAAATAATATTCACTGCTTATGAACTCAATATCTATTGGGTTGTCGGAAAAGTCATGATGTATTTTTCCTATGTTTTTTTGTTGCAAAAATGCGTCATGACTTTTCCGACAACCCAACAGAATCAGAAGGCTCTAGAATGTTGAAAACAAGTATTAGATTGTTCAATAAGAAAAATAGTGACCAATATTTGGACAGCATCTTATTACCTCAGAAGCAAATATTTATTCAAAATGTAGCACATTTCATGAGAAAAAACAAACATCAATACTGAAAATAATTCTAATTCTTTTTGAAAAAAAGAAAACTGAGCAAGTCTCTAAAAAAAGACACTATAAACTTGACAATATTATTCAGAATTGTTTATATAAAGTCCCATGAAACAAACACCATCATACCAGCATTAAAATTTTAACAAACTCATTGCAAAACAAAGTCAAAATAATCAAACATAAATATTATCTTACATGCAATGGATAATGCATAGCATGATCAGACCCAAACAGCATGCATGGAGGAGGCATTATCAGGAAGAATTGGCAATATGAAGATCATGTCCCAATCCAACATATAAAGACACAGAGAAGAAAATGAAATCATAAAGAAAAATGTCAATGCATATTGTATTTTTTAAATGGCAATCTGGCTGACCGTTTTTTAAAAGACCCATCATTGGCACAGTGATTAAAAAAATTCAAAAGCAGAATCTTCTAATAAGAAAGCATCAAGAGAACTTGAAAATTGAAAAATTTTCCCCCCCTCCCAATACTTCTGTTTGATACTTTAAATATCTAACATTTTTCATTTGTAAAATTTGAATATCAACTGACATAATGACCACATCATTTGTGGAACTAAAATAAAAGGCAATGTTGTTAACGAATTTTAAATTGAAATAATTAGTAGTTAAGTATTATTAAAAATACTACATACGTAGTTCAAAAAATATTCCCAAAATTCAGAAGTCTTGTGTGGTTGCTAGTTTGCCATTTGGGGTTTCCTTAAAGGAAAACAAAAATAAAACAAACCACTTTTCAGGTTGTTTATTTTTAAATTATATCATGATATTTACATGCAATATTTGAAAGTACTGCACAAATAAAAATTCCTAAAATGTACATGACTGCTAAGAATGAAACATGCAAGAAGAGTAACATAAAATAATTTATTATATCAAGAAAAGACACACGTATGATTTTAACCTCTATAGGAATCATAAAAGATATAAAGCCTGATGCAACAACATGAAATTCAAACTGCCATGGAATTCTAGAGCTAGAAGCTTCCACTAATCCAGTGGCTCTAACTTTAGAAACAACCTGGAAAGATTTAAAAACAAATCCAAAGCCTGGATTCCCATCTCTGCTAAATTAAATCAGAATTTGCCTGGTATTAAGATATATATATATTTAATTTCCTACACAAATACATTGTGTGGGGGTAGAAAACAATTATTAGTTAAATCCTCCTGCTTTTCAGATGAAAAAACTGAAGTAAAATGGGGTTTAGAGAATTATTCAAGGATACATGGTTGGGCATAAGTAGAACCAAACTAAAACTCAGTTCTATAATTCATAGCTTAATCTCTTCTTCTTATCACACTACCTCTTTATTACAGATGCTCCTTTATTTATGATGGGGTGATATCCCGATAATCCCATCATAAATAGCAAATATTGTAAGTCAAAATATATTTAATATGCCTAACCTACCGAACATCATAGCTTAGCCGAGCCTATCTTATATGTCCTCAGAACACTTAGCCGACAGTCGATCATCTAACACAATGGATACACTGTGGAGTCTTGGCTGTCTACCCTCAGGATTGCATGGCTGACTGGGCGCTGCAGCTCCCCACTGCTGCCGGTCATCATCAGAGAGAATTCTAATGCATACTGCTAGTCCAGGGAAAGATCAAAATTTCAAGTACAGTTTCTACTGAATGCTTATGGCTTTTGTATCATTGTAAAGCTGAAAAAATTTTAAGTTGAGCCATCATGAGTCAGGGACCGTCTGTCTTATGTCAGCAACATTTTTTTTTTAAAAGAAATAATAGGCTTACATATAGAACCTTAAGTCATATTGAACTTCCTTTAATCTTCTGAAATTCTTTTACTAAACTATACTGAACTGTAGGAAGCGTCCTTTTTACATTGATTATTTTTAGTGCGCTTATAGAAATATGCATACATACAATAATGTTGAAATTTTGTTGCCAATAAGAAAGGATTTTGCAATGAGTTTGCCAAGCAATAAAAATTCACAATACTTATTTGCAATTTTGGACATTTTTAATTAGCTGAAGGGAAATTTCTTTAACTTCTAATCTAAAGTATGCTTTTAGAAGTTGAAAGACATTTTGGCTTAAATTTTGTGGCTTATAGAAACGATCACATCAGAATGTATTTTTATTTCCACTTAGAAGTTAATCTTACAAGCAAATTGTTAGGATTACACGGATTTGGCACAAATTTCACAATATTTAATAAATTTATTTTTAGAAGCCATCTGATTACGATTACTCTGATTGTTAATGTTATTGTTACATAATTTGCTAGTGATCTGCAGTTAGCCAAGGCATACCCTCTGCCAGCATTAATAACATTTTTGCTCCAGCTTATTGAGAAATGATACTCATTTCTATCTCATGCTCTGGAAGCTTGATGTCAGGAAAGGCGGCATTAATCATATGCTTTTAGGAAGAGAAGCTTAATTTCAATTCTGATTTAGCAAATTTGAAGGCACAGCTAACTTCATTTACAGTTACCTGAACATTGGGTCTCCTTTTTCTTAAATTAATTGTTGGTATACCTACACCAATAGGCTAAAGCAACAGAAAGATGGTAATTCATCATACAACATCTCAATATAGGTAAGGGGTCTATCCTATCACCAATTTTGGTCAGATATTTCCTTCATTAGAAACAGGTATCATAAAGTTCATGAAGAGTTAATAAATAAAAGTTTAAAAATATTTTTAGTATATAAAAAATGTTATGCTAGTAAGAATATTCATGATTTTGTGTAGCAAAATGACTGTTAATCTTTTTTTTTTCTAGAAAAAAAGTGACAAGTGGGAAACGAGAAAGATGGTTTGTTTCAGACAACTTTTATGGTGATTGAAAAAATAAAAAGAAAAAAATAGGAATTTTTAGAATGTACATAATTCCAATATATCAAAATATAAATATTACAGAATATTGAAAAGTCTTAATCTTAAACCCTTAAAATTTGTGCCTTTGTTTTCTAAAGTGATCCCATGTGTTTTATTTGTGGAACTAATGGAAAATTCAATCATAACACTGCAGATTTGCTTTAAATATTGACTTCTAAAACATCAAGTATGCACAATTTTGTTTACAATAAATATATCTTGCTCAAAATGAGATATCTAATAAGTATACCTAACTTGGTTATTTCAATGACAAAATGAAAAAAAATGCATTTTGGAATAAAATAAAATAAATAATTCAGCATTTGTTATATGTGATCATGGTGTTGATAGTACACTTTAAGATAAGTAATGATTCCTTAGAAAATTAGATATGCAAAGGTTCATAGCTACTTTACTGATATTCTGAACTTTTAAAGGATGCTTGTTTTGTCTTCTATAAACAACAAATTGTACTGAAAAAAGTTGAATTAAGATTATAGCTTCAAGAAAAAAAAACAAGGCATTCAGCAAAGAATGCTTGCATAACATTAGACTTGGACCTTGATAAATAATAACAAGTACTGTGGAACATAGCTTTATTTTCCTTTTTTCCACTGGTGAATTTCAGATGAAAAAAATTAAGATTGATTTTGTTAGTATACTAGCTATTACCATACTGGTCCTTTGAATTTGTCAATTTCTAAAACCACTGTCTTACACTATATCATCATTTTATGAGGTTCTTGTATCTACCTGTATAGTATATACCATCACCCATAAAATCATAATGTTTAACCTGTTAGTGATGAAAATTCACCATATTTAATTCAGAAGCACAAATTTTAGAAAAAAAAAATTAAATGTTCAAACATTTATTTCATTGCTCTTAGAATATTATTTTTATAAATGTTTTTCTGTTGCATATTTGTTTTAATAATTTCCTGTACAAAAATATGAAAATCTAACATAATCCCAAACAGAATCACTTGGGCTATAATTAGGATTTATATAGAATTTATATTTCCGTTGTAATTTCATGAATTTTAGTAAATTATTTCAAATATGAGCCAAATAAAATTCATTTTATATAAATATTGGTTATTAGTAGAAAAAGGTAGAAAAGGGGAAAACCTTTATCAAATTACTTCTAAATGATGGATTTACATATATATGTAAGTGCTATATATATACACATCATATGTGCATCGTTCTCATTATTCTTTTATTTTGTCTATGATATATTTTAGTCCCTTTTGGGGAAAGTGTTAACACCTACAATCATAAAAATAGAGATCCTTTACACTCTTCAGCACATTACATTGTTACTACTTTTAAATCAGTTTATTATGGGAATATAATTTAAAATACACTGGATATACAAAGAATAATAATATCAGAAATTATTAGAAATCTTAAAAAATTACAAAAATATAAAATTTTCCAACTATGGCAAAATCATTGAATGTTTAATTAATTATAAATGGCTCTATTATGAGGAACATGACATGTTTAAAAAGAGCTGTGAGAGACTAATAACAATGTGAAATAAACCTATACTGTACTTATAATAAAGTAACAACTTTAAAAATAATGCAGTGTGTTCAGCAGCTACATTTGATTGAAAATATTTAGATCATGAATGAAATAAATATATGGAAATAAGTTCCAAAGTGAGAAGAATTAAAATAGAGACATTAACTATAACCATTTAATGTTTTTATATTCAATATCAATGGTTCTTAATCAGTATTGATTTGAACAATATTTAAATAACTCAACTTTGTGTGTGTGTGTGTGTGTGTGTGTGTATGCATGTAATTTTATGTCCTAAAATATCACTAAGTGATATTAAATATTCATGACTGGGGAAAGGAAGGTAGTATATATATCTGCATATAGTATTTCCTTCCAGCATGGTTTAAACTATCCTCAGTATTACCTTCTAAGTTAACAACTTGAAGATGCTTAGAAGTTACAATTATATAAGATTTTTACCAACTTTTACTCCTAAACGAATAAATTTTACCCTACCTATGAAGCATTAATGAAAAGTGAAATGTTGGATGAGATACTAAAGAAAATACTTTATGTCTTGGAATAAAAAGACTTAAAGATTAGTATAAAATTGTTTATCTATATAATTTTATCACTTTCTTATAACTCACTGATTAATAAACACTTCTGAAGCCCATCCCATGGAATTTTACTTACTGAATTTCACACATATTTTTATAAGCCTGCCCGAAGTAGAAAAAAAGAAGAAACACTCTGGGGGATAAAAGGGAGAGATAATTACCAAAAGAAAAGGGTGTTGGGAAAAATGGCCTCTGTATGGAGTAACATTACTTATACTTATCAAGTTCACACTTAGAGGCGGGAGGGGGGGGGCGGCAATCTCCTTCACTATCTTACAACCTTAAACAAAGTCCAAAGTGGGATTTGTGGAACTCAGGCACAGAGTGATAATGGCTGTCTTTAAGATAGGAATACTGATTAGCTAAATATTGGACATGAATGTTGGATAGTTAAATTGGTAAGACAAAATGAAAATTGCTTTCACACCTTTATATATTATAAACTATGTTCTTGTCAGCTATTAACGTTACTGATATAATAATGCTCCTTTATAGTTAGTTATATAATGAATTTTAAAATGACAAACCTATTAAGAACATTAATCATTAATTTTACAGAATACTAATCACTATAAACAAATTACATACATACCTTTGGCTGAAGATTTGGATGTAATAAAACATAACCATTAGGATCAATTGCAAAATAATAGCCATTGGGGCACAACTAAAAAAGAAAAAAAAAAACAACAAAAAACACGTTAGAGTTCCCTGAGCCATAATCAGAAATCCTCATTCTTTTTTTTTTTTAATCTTAAATACACATTTTAAAGCATGAAGAAGAACAACATGATATCTTTATTTATTTATTTTTTAAATGATATCTTTATATTTTATTTTAAGGATCCTTTTAACACTTACTACCTTTGCCAAGACAACTGCACATAATTTTTGAGAATTACTTAATGCTTTACAGACAAGTTAAATTAGTACAGAGTTTCAAAGTAGAAAAGATACCAAAAGAGTAAATTTCATCTTACTGTAAAACGTGGTGTTAGTCTTTTAATGTCTTCTAGAGACACATCAACTCCCATCACACCAAGAATCAGCTGGTTCTATAATAAGACAGAAAAAAGACAGTGTGTTTTATACCCAAATTTACATATTCTACATAATTATTACTTCATTCATCCCTTTGCTCCACAATGGTTGTATTCCACAGTACCTTAAACATCTGTATAAGGGTGAGGCATTTTTCAGATCAATTTATAATGATTCTCAGCTTTGATTGTTTTCCCACAACTTTATCATTATTACTATTTAGCTTAAAAAAATAAAATCTTGATTGAAACTAAAATATAAAAAAACTATGAAAATTTTTATTTGATACTTCTTGTACTCATTATCCCTAATACTTATTTTAACTGCTACTTACTGTCAGCACCTGTAGCCCTATGTGTGTGTCTTTGTATGTGAATGTAGACTGACTTTGTGGTGTGCTGTGATTAAGAAATCACAAAAAAGTCCAGCTTAAAGGTGTTGGGCAATATGGAATGAGAAAAACTATAGATTTTTGTTGTTGATAGTACCTGTGTATGTGTAACTATCCCGAAAAGTTTGAGACCTTATGTTTAACAAAATAGCAAAAATCCTCAAAACACTATTTTTGCTTGCTGTTAACTTCTAAATACCAAACAATGGACATCACAGAGTTAGTTCCAAGTCAAGGAGGCTATGTGACAAACTGCTATCATAATCTTCTGTGGGACATACAGATGGAAATTAATAGTGGTAAAATTTAGAATCAGGAATTTTTGTTTTAAATAAACTTATACAAAATATAAAAAAAAGGAAAGGTTACAAAGAAAATTATAAAATCCAGTCTTTAGTTGTTATAAAGACTCTTTAAACTTTGCGTAGGTGCACATAGAATGAGAAAGTTAAGTAAATAACTATGCTATTTTCCTGTGAATCAATCCTAGTTTGAGCAAAATCTCAAATTAAAGCAACCTCTTAGACAGTCCACATGAGTGGATAGAGAATTACTCCTTTATGAGTAATGGACCCCTAAAGAGGACTAACCAAAGTTTTCTATGGCCACATTATTTAAATAAAGAGTTTGGCTGAAATTTATATTAACTAAAATAATGCTTAAATGCAATAGGCTTCATTATATCATAAGCTGGAATTAATTATCCCTGAAATCAGGAATGTCAACGAAACTATAAAATTAATATTTAGAATTAGAAAAATCTTAACTTCTGCATCCTTAAATTCCTTTTGATGCAAGCTAAGAAATAGGAATGCTACCCTACATTTAAATCAAAAGTATTATAAATAAGAAACAGAATTTAACAAGCACAAGATACATATTTTTCAGAACTTTCACAACTTTAAGTGCCTAGCATTTTATTGTATTGACCATACACCAGTGCTATAGAAATCATGATTTTTAGAAACTCATTATTTTTCCTGAGTCTTAAAAAATAGAAAAAAATAGAATTATTTATTTAAATCAGATCCTTCTATTACATGATGATTAAAAAAGAAACAATTGTTTGAATGGCAGTTGGAGGAGGAACAACTCAATACATATACACCTATGCACACCTGATCCAAACATCAGCATGGTATTGCTCTTTGGATTTTTTCTTTCTGAACTCCATGAATATCTTAGATGCATTTTTAAAATGTGCACCCAATAGTATTGCCCATTTATCACATAATCACTCCCAGAGTCTGCACTTGTGTTCTCATCAGGTCATAGTTAAATAGAGTAAAGTTGAGTCTTGTCTCTGGGGAAACAGAGAATTTGACCCGCATTTCCTCTTTCCCAGGTGGTTATCACATAAACAGCTGTTGCCTTGTACTGTCGGCCTCACAAGACAGTTACAAAATCATATGCATTTCCTTATAGAAATATCTTATCCACAATGAGCTTCAAGGTCATACTTTATCATTTATTATCATTAATTTTGTCAATTAACTTTTAACCTTTAAGTTTGTCTTATTTTCAACTTGGCCGGTTATGTTGAAGACCGGAAGAGTTCCAGTAATGACAAGTCCCAGTTCCTAAAAATAGATTCAGAGAAAAAAGGCAAATTAAAATTACAATTTAAACTTTGTCATGCTGCATTAGTCTTTAACGTATGACACTGAATTTTATAGTTCTTTACAAAAAAGAACTTTATAGAAAACTAATAAATGATTTTGAAAGATTATTTTTCAAAAAACAAATGAAAATGTCTTAGAAATAATCAAGATCTATTAGGCAGCGATTGAAGCATGCAGCCTCTAAAACAACACTCTATGAGAGCACTGCAAATAATTTAAAAGAAAAGAAAAACCAAGTGACACCAAACATTTCAGTAACCCTGCCCCTCCACTCTTTATGGTGATAGTTCACCTTAAATTAGAGTCCTCCATGAGCCGACTGATATTAAAATATTACGTATTTCAAATTATTTAATTACTTTCTTTTGTTGTAGCTTTATTATTAAAATGTTTCATGCCCTAAGCCCAAGGCTTTATGCTAACTCACAAATGTGTAGCAGAATAACATTATAAATAGAAGAAACATGTTATTGATACTGCATTTCTGGCATATTCTAGGTAAACACTATATTGTTCAAAGGAAGTAATATTGCTTCCAAATACCCTCCAAAATAAATAATAATTTTTGACAAAGTAAAATGTAGACAAGAAAACTGCAAGTGTCAAGTATGATACGCTAGTCATGAAGCAGTTTAGTATAACAAAAATAATGACATCCTATTAACCAGCACGTAGATAATACCATATATTAAATAAATCCATGGAGATGAGTCAAAATAAACTGATTTTCAAGTCCGAGTTTGCTTTTTTTTCCTTACTGCCATCTGCAGCAACTATATATTTTTTACCACTATTTCATGTCAAAACTCCATTTTCAAAAAAAAAATCACTTTTTAAATAATTTTAAAATTGTTGAAAATTTTGAATTTGCTAAGCTGAGAAAATATTAGTGAATGATGTTAGTGAAAAATATTAGTGAATCTTCTTATGAAAAAATGACCCCAAATCCAAATCTCATGACTGCTGTTCTCATTCCAGGAACAGCATGGTTTCATGGAGAAAATATCTTAGGCTATGGTGTAAAATTGTGCATGTGGGAATCATGGAAACAATGGGAACTGAATTAGTGAGGAAGGACAATCATAGAGAGGGATTCAGCAGAACAAGATACCAAATTGTATGGCGCAAATAAAATGAATAAAACGACTACATGGAGTTGGGGATGTGATGATATACACATTATCTCTCTATTTAGTCTGAATCAAGAACTTTCAGCAATAAAAACATTCTCAATGAAATATGCAAATTAATATTCACAATGAAAGCATTCCACCTCAATAAAGTCAAGATTATAGATCATTCATAATAGTAGTAATCAAAGGATAATTCAATGAAAATTCCTTTTGGCAAACTTACTATTTGAGTTATAATGTATATGCATAGTTTTACACATGCAAGCATGTATAAAGAAAGGTATATAAGGATGCAATCTTTTTCTTTGGATCACTTTTGCATTTGCTTAGAATACTATAATTTGCTTCTAAATATGGTAATATGTGTCCTAAACTGAGATATTAGGCTATCATATAAAACAAATTCATGGATGAACTCATTGGTGCTCAATTTGCATTTTCCCCCTCATTTATTAAGCAGACAAAAAAATTACTCTATTCCTTGGCACTGTACAGCTCTAGAAAATAAAAAAAGAGAAATAAAACAAGATTTCAGCTCTCCTGGAATTTATTTGATGTCTACTTTCTAGAGCCCACCTCTTTTTTGTCTCTTTAATTTTATACAAAGAATCTCACATTACCTCCCAAATAAAATGCACCCCCCACAATACTGTCCCAGTGTTATATCTGACCTTATTTCCCATTATCTTCAAAAGAGAGTGAGGTACTAGCATTCGTTCAATGTATCCAGCACTCCCACAACTTTCATAATGCACCCGCAATGTGGTTCTCTACTCATCACCAATTATAGAAACACTACCTGAAGTCATAAATCAGCTAAAATGTCACCATCTTTTTAACCTCACTTTACTCCATTCCCAAATATATGGCTTCTTTCTTCTGAATTTCCAGAGCTCTTTTCATTTGCTCATTATATTTATTCTATTTTGTCTTGAAAATTTTCCTTCTTAATATAACTGCTAATTTGACCAGCCTATGTTTTGAATCTGCTTTGTGCAGAGATTATAAACAAATAATTAGAAATACTAGATGGGTCACTTTTGATTCTCAATTCAGTAAAAAGAATATTTTATGTGTTAATTGAATAGCCAATTCATGTGCCTCATTTTTTTTTCACTTTTTACATTTAGCTTCAACTTATAGAACAGCTTATTTAGACCAAAATTTCTTCCTAATGTCATCTGTGCTATCAGTAAGAACCTTACCAACAATGCAGACATGTTGGTTAATGAACTTCTGGTCATAGGAAATACAACAGGGCATCATTATTGACTCCTCCTATCATACTCTGCCCTGTGATGCATTTGGAAAAGCGAAACATTTTAACCAGAGCTTTAGATGACTATGTGACCTTAAGTAAATAAATATGTGATGTCAAGAATGAACACTGGACAGTGATTTTAGCTAGTCCTTGAGGTAAGCAAGCTTTACTTTATCTGTCTTAGCATGCAAGCCTGCTGCTAATAGTGCCTATTTTTCTCCTAATTTCCTGTATATGTTTATTTTACAAGAACCAAATGATAAGTAATTTTAAGTGGATTGCATTTTGCCCTTTGGGTTCATCATTGCGTTTAGAAAAGTAGTATCAGCATATAATTGAACTCCAAGGAGGAAAAAACGTTATTGAATTAGCATATACTTTTCAAGGCTTAGTATTTTGATTCTCTCCAATATATTACATTAGTAAAGTCATTAACAAAGTCTTATTAAGATTAAACACATGAATAAATATGAAGTATGATAATTACTATCTATAACTTTCATATTGGGAAACTGAAAATTACATTAAAACAAGATTTCTCAACTCCAGCCCTATTAACATTGTGAGCTGTATGATTCTTCGTTGTGTGTGTGTATGGGGGAGAGGGAGGGCTCTCTTGTGCATTGTAGGATGTTTAGGAACAACCCTGGCCTCTATCTGTTAGATGCCAGTAGTAACCCCACTCTAACCCAGTCATTGTGCTAAAAAAAAAAAAATCTATAGATATTTCCAAATCATCTGTAAGGGGCAAAATCACCCACAATTAAAAACCAAGACTTTAAAATATGATGGAATACCTGTACTAAAGTTTCAATTGTGCAATGGACAACTTAACATGTTTTGTTATTTCATACCAGATTTGATTGCCACAATGGCCTATTTTCATAAATATCTAAGGTTGACCTAAAGGAAGACATACACATGAAGAGGTGATTAGATTTGTGATGAATTCAGTTAGATTTTTGCCTAACTGCATGTACTTCTGAGTGTTTTGAGGTCTGGCTTGAGTTGTGGAGGCTATAATACTTCTGCTAGTTGAAGACTACTTAAAAAATACTTCAAAATTCTTGTTCAAAATTTGTAGTTCTAGGTACTAATGCCAATGACTTTCAGCATTTCAAAAAAACAGATACTCAACAAGTATTGAAATGCCCATAAATTGAAGATTCTAGAATGAAAATTCTACATTCTCAGTGGATCAACTAGAAAAGAAAATAACCCTATATTTGTGCTTCTCTACTACACACAAGTATAGGTTTATATGTAAATTATCTAAATTCTTGCAAAAAATGTTGTGATAGAAAGAATTTTACAAAGGACTTAATGAAGAGGAGAAGAGAAATGTCACCTACAAAAAAGGAGACGTCAACTGTGTGCTTTCGTTATGACAGTTTGTGGTTGAACAGCTAGCCTCTTACCAGTGCATCCAGGTACACATTTGTCCATTGGACTTGCTTAGCTTTGTCTCCTGCTAAAACCATTGGTCTTCCCAGTACATCCAAATATTCCTATTTATTAAAAAAAATAAAAGTTAAATGGTTGAAAACTAGGAATGCCATATTTAAAAAAAAATCACCTTTACAGAGTAAAAATTAACTAGAGTTAAAAATGAATAGGGAATCAACATTATTAAGTATGTAATCATTTAATTCGTACTTTGGGGATTGAATAAATGGCATGTCTACATACTTTGAATCAACATTGTTTGACTTATACTATTTATACAATATATCTACCCCAGTTTTTTCTAGTAACAATATCAAAACATTTTCTTTCTGAGGTAGAGCCAATGATATGTGAAATACGTTCTTTGTGAATTGTTTCATGTTAATCTAAACTATTTAAAGTTCGTGATTTACTGGATGGAATTGCACAAATCTGAAATAATAAAGCAGCCACATATTTGCTTTCATATCACAGATTGGCTGAAATTCAAAACTACATTTAAACTTATCAAAAAATAACTGAAATATAGTGCCAAATCTAGACATCAGACTCTAATGCAGCTGCTGTTTCATTTCAACATTCAGTGTATTCAGTATTCATTTCCACAAATGCCATGTGATTTATGCTAAATTTTGACTTAGTCTATTTTATAGCTCCTCAGTTATGTTTAAAATTGAGTAATTATTTTAAATAGTAATTTATGAATATTTAATCACAATATATATTTAAATTAACTTAATTGCTTCAATGTTCAAAGTTGTTTAACAGGCATGTTTTTGAATGAATGGTGGTAGAAAAATCATCTCCTTGTTGTAAGTTTATTTTAAACAGGTAATATATCTACAGGGTTGATTTGGGAGGTATCTACTTGTAAATTCTGAGTAGGACCCTATATAATTTGTTTAGAATAATTATTGTTTGATTTTCTATGTGGTACATATGACTTGAAGAAACTCATTTAAATCATTTGTAATAGAGTCAAGTTCAAATTACATGAAATGAGATTATTAGTAAATTTGATTTTATTTATTTTGTATGTTTTTAACATCTGAAAATATTTATATATTTTTTTACCTAAGTTATGGATGTTTGAAAACACTTGGAACCTTAATGAAATAATAAACAATACATTGCCATAATACTCATCATTTTGTTACACATGTAATATTATGGAATTTTTCATTTTCACCTATTTTCTGTATTTTGAGCGTATGTAATGCAGAAAAGAAACACCTTCTACCTTGAAAAAAATAATTTAAACAAATTTTAAATAACCATACCTGAGTATTGATTCTTATTGCTCCAATGGAAGGAATTTCATAATAATAACCTGAAACATATATATACGTATTTATGCATGTAAATATTATACTATAATAAAAGGTCATACAATTATTTATGGCTTTGTAAGAGAAAAGAGCATTTTTCACTTTAATTGAACAAGCACTAAAATATCAATGCCACTGATAAATTTGAAAAATGTTTGATTAATGTATATTCATAACAAATGTATAAACTTTATTAGAAATTTTGCTACATTATCTTATATAAAAGTCATTTTTCTACAAAGCAGTAGGGAATCAGGCATCATTTAAAATATTTCTTTTCATTGAAGAAATTATTCAGGAAGCATGATCATGGGTATCTAATAATTATCATACAGTAAAACCTTAGATTGCGAGTAACATGGTTTGCAAGTGTTCCACAAGACGAGCAAACATTTCTAATACATTTTAACATGGTAAAGGAGTGATGTCTTGTAATATGAGTAGTTCGTTTCTGGAACGAATTATGCTCACAAACCAAGGTATTACTTGTATTTATACAAATTTTTGCCTAAATATCTTTCAGAATAAATTTAGGTTCTTTTTATTGCTATGTGATCACTGTTTATTTTTCAAATAACATCTTGTGTTATTCTGAGTACAAAGGAAATATGGGCTTACTACACAAAAAATGAATTATCTAGGAATGTATAAGAATACATTTAAAAAAACAAACAGAAAAAAATGTATATACGAGTATGTCACGCTCTCTTATCTCTAAGTTTAACATGATTCAGATCTTTTTTCATTCTTAGTTTTTCATGGAAGGTTATATTTGATAAGAATCATCAAGTACCATTCAATAAAATATATCCCTTTATAATGGTATAATATGACAGGAGTCTGAATTTTTACATAACGAAACACTAATGTCAAAGTTTGTTGCTCTGTGTTGTGTTTCCTCTATAGAAAACATGTTCAGAATCTTATTTTTGCCTCAGTTCCTATAAAAATTAGCTACAACTTTAGATTATTTTAATAATATGTAGAACTACAACTCTGAAATTATTTTTCTTCTAATAAAATATGGTCGAGAAAAGAGATCTGTCACCTTTATTTTCACAGGCCATCCACTGAATAGGGCCTCTGTCGTAATTATGCTGACCAACTGAAAACGTGAATACACGGACCTGGTGAATGGAATAATAGGTATATGTTAGGTTGTATAAAATTTAATTGAGTTGTACAGCAAAATAGCTAAAGTGAAAAATAACTAAAAGCACGTTTTTCAGTTGATTAATGTGACAAGAAAAATAGAAGCCAGTAAAGCTTTCAGGATGGCCCCAGAGGGAAACGACATCACCTACTCTTCACATAGACACAGACACTATATTTAAATCAGTACTTGGGTGCCCTGCACTGTTTCCCTACGCAGTGATCAGGAGCGTGACGAAGGTTTCATTAGAAGAAATGGCATCTTTCAGGTCCAAGCTAACTTCACCTGGTTAACACATATTATCCACATACTTAGTCACTGCAAAAAACCCCCCAAAAACTCCTTATTCCATATGTGGTTATAAAAATGTGTACAGAAAGGAAGTCATTATACTTTTAGTTGCCTAAGGCAAATAAAGTTAACGATGGCCTTCCTTTTACACTGTGGAAATATTCAGGATGTGCACGTATGATTATGTTAGTTATATTATTTATGTTTTATAAAAGATGACTGACTGGTATATATAAATAGATAAATATTTTAAGCTCCTAGGATTTTCAAAGAGAATCAAATATTGACTGTTTCTAACATGCTATAAAATATGCAAATATTTAAAAATTCAATTGAGATAGTTTGTAAATTATAACAATTTAAATATTTATTGGAAGCCACTGAATTTAAATAATACTATAAAATTATAGAGAATAAATTCAATGATGTTAACAAGTATTTAATAAGTTGGCTAGTTAACATATACTGATTTTTACCAGCTAAGTAATCTAAGTAAACCAATACTCTAAGTTCAATATTTTTGTTTTTTCTAAAAATAAACATGTAGAAAATCACTTTTCCATGATTTCATGTTCTGGTTTGAGCTATGTTAAGTGCTTTTCCCTAATTCATGTTGATTGACTGTTTGAATTGACATTTTCTAATTGTTTCATCTGTTTCATCTTTTCTACATGATTACAGAGCACAAATCTCAAAAGAGATTTCACATCTGTTCTCTGTTCTTTCACTTGTCTTGGCCACACAGAAATCACATCATAACAATCCCTGCCCCAAAATGTACATTGGGGATGGTGCTGTTTCGCTTGTAAAGTTTTATTATGTAAGTCACCCCTTAAGCCTTCTAGGTTTGCTTTAGCTTGTTAAGTAAGGAGCCATTTGCTGGACACAGCTGAGTTTTAATCACAAGTTGTAAGGACAAATGATTCCAAGTTAACAGTAGAAGTGGTGTCATCTCTCTCTCTCTCTCTCTCTCTCTCTCTCTCTCTCTCTCTCTCTCTCTCTCTCTCTCTNTCTCTGTCTCTGTCTCTGTCTCTCTCAAAATGCAAGTTTCATTTTCTTAAATTCTTCAATTGGGTCATTTTGTAGGCTCTCTATATATTTCAATGGAGTGTTACTGCTTATATAGTTGAAGTTACTCCTAAATGGAAATATTTTTACGAACGGATTGACCACCCTACTGATAATTCAATTTAACTGTCATGCCCTAAACATTTGTCACATAGAGTCAGGACAGGGAAAAAACCCAGAGGCTCCAGAAAGCATTTGAGGATCTCCTTCATAATTAACATTTGAAAGCACGTCTCCAATTTTCAACTTACAGAATTGCTTTGTCTCCTTGTTGTTCCTGTTACCACAACAGTGTTCTAGCAAAATAGTTTCCATAAAATACTCTTCAGTAAAAAGAAATAGTAAATGAGTAAAGCTAATACCTGTGTATCTGGAAGGCAAGCATTTCTAATAACATAGAGGCTACACTTAGACACACACCATGTCATTATTTAACTGATGGTATTCATTAACAGTCGAAATAAACACTTGCCAAAAAACATACTAGTAAAAAAAGAGGTTGTTGCTTTGATTTACTACAAAAGTTTTACCTAACCCCCGTGGTTTGCCTACATCCAGCACTCAGAGATCCGAATTAAGGAATTAGGATCAGGGCTGGCTGTGGAAGTGTATATTCTGTCACATTAATTGTAATTATTTAAAATTTTAAAATACACCCATTTTTTTCCCTCTGTCTGTGTTCATTTTTCACAAAAGTCCTTGGCTATTTGAACATAAGTTACATTGACTGATCGAATCATTCCCATGTAAAAAATGTATAATTTGCACCTCTTATTTATCTTACTGTCAACAATTTTAGAGACAACTTTTTCTGAAAATTTCCAAACTCCCAATGGTTACAAAATCTCAAGAATTAGAAATGAAACCTTCTCTTTATAAGTTCTGCAACTTCCTTACCATTACAATATTTACAAACTCTTTCTAACATACATAAGATGCTTATTTTTCTCTTGATTAGACACACACACACTCTCACATACACACAACACACACTCACACACACCCCACACACATATACACACACTGAACAGATGCATGTGTATATTTATGATTTTAGATGATCTTAGAAAAAAATTTTAAATGTTTTTATAAATACATATTTGGTTGAGAAAAAGTTTAATAAAAATTACTGAAAAATTTAAATTCTTTATATGACAATGAAAAAATCAATATAAAAATTATTTCAATTCCAGGTGCTATACCCATGTTTAATTTGACTTTGCTTTACAAACTTTAGGTAACTACATAATACAAAATTAACTTAATTGATTTCATAAACATGTGCAATACACATTTTCTAGTGTATGTACATAAATAATTAGTGAGATTTAAAAGATTTTTTTGCACACTAACTTTCTACTTGGACTTGTAGACAGTATTCCTCCTATTCCATACAATATTACTGCCACCCTGTGGAATAGTTAATGAACTAACTCTAAAACTCCAGATGCCAAAATTCAGACATGATTTTTATCCCCTACTTCTTTTGATGTTTTCCACTTCTTTGGATAAAGGAAAAAATAAAGCAATTTCTTGCAATATGCAAAATTTTAAAAATCAAGGTAAATTATATTTTCAAAATGTATAGTTTTAGAGTTTTTTCTTACTAGCGTATTTAAATGGTCTTGCATAAAAACATAATATGACATAAAATAACTCAAAATACTTAATGTGTACTCACACAAGCTATATATTACATCTAAAGTCTCAAATTCTTACTCTAAACCAACTCTACATCAAGACAAAGTCAACTTTTTTGGAGAAAAAAATTCCTTATGCCTCATAGTACATTTATAATCATACTAGATTCATGTAACAAATGTGTACTGGAAACTTTCTGTTCCAAGTGAAATGATCCTAGAAAATGTGCTAAATGTTCCTCAACTAATCTGTGTGACGTTTAGATAGGCTCATGTTTCAAAATGTTCACTTCTGTGAGGTCCATGTATGAGACTTATACAGTCATAGATGGCTGTGAAAAATAGTTTTCATAATGATGGAGTTGAGGTCTTTAACAGAAATAATATGGGAAGGTAGTGTTGAATAAACATTGGATTAGGTTAAAACAGTTCCAAGATTGCACTATTTTATCTACTGCATCAATTATAGTGCCTTACAAATAAATGGAAATAAACATTTGTTAAATGAAAAAAAAAAAAAAAGCCAACAGCCAAATGAGTGGTCTCAACTTTTAACAAGAGGGATCTAACATATATGTCCTGTCATATGACATGTAAATCAGGTTCATTATAATGCAGCAGAGTCAAAACTGGGCTGGTAGTTGATTTGCATTTTTGCAATTTGGACAGCTTCATTTTATCATGGTAAATTTTTAATCTTTTTTAAAAAAATGTTATTCAGACTTGCTCAATGGAGTTAAACTTGTGCAGGCAAAATAAACTATACTTAATATACATACCATTTATGTACTGCACTCTTCCTAGAGAATGGAAAACATTCTCATAATTCTTGACTCATGCTTAGGTTATGTAAGCATAGTCATAGAAACAATAGTAATTTGAGAGCATATTTAATAAAATTAAACTTAAAACATCTAAAAATCAGGACTTATTAGCCTCAAACTTACATATTTTGGCCTTCAGCTGCTTGAAAAACCAATTTTTCCCTGAACAGAACATGATAATTCCAATAACATAGTTATACATCAAGCCTGACCTACATGATCAGAGAAAACTTTTAATTAATAACAAATTTGGCTATTTAAAAGCATCACTGATTTGTTTCCTGTAATACACCAATGATTTATAGCTTTATACTACAGTTCTGGACTTCTGCTAATCTGTTTTTTATTTTGTTTTGTTTGTTGAAGACTAAAATACTTGTCGTCAATTAAGATTTTTCCAAAGCCACAGGGTCAACCTATTTTAGAAAGCCATAGGAATTTCTTGTTTCCCAGCAGAACACAGTTACTGGAAACTGTCACCTCAACAATTATCAGTTACCCAGAGTTCAAGTTTAATTTACAATAGGCAAATCTCCAAGGAATAATGGAAATGAGGCTAAGAAGAAAGAAAGCCAATAAAACTAAAATAAAAACTTCAGCTATCGAAACATGTTAGAAAAAATGATGTCAGAAATGGGTTTTATTAATTTACTATGTGTACTAAAACTTTTGGCATTAAGCCTATAAAAATATTAGATCAGACTGAATATTTTAGGAGAAAGTTCCACAGTGGTTTCCATAGCTCACAAATATATCAGAATCCAGAGCATCTAAATAAACCATATCTCTATTTTATAGCATTATGAAATAAATAAAAGTGTCCGAATTCACCTTTCACACTTAATGTATTTTAGGAAGCCCAATGATCTGAAAGTTACTCGCAGCCTGCAAAGTTTTGATGACTTAGTTTAATCCATCTTAGTCAGTTACGGCTGTGAGGACCAAGTCCCCTGTGGTCAAACCCTGTTGTCCGAACAGAAGGAAGGTTCCAGGGTGGGCAAATGATGACTGGGATAGCCACAGGGTTGTCCAGGAGAAGAGAGAGACAGATGACCAGACAGATGCACTACATATAAGCTTATGAAATTTGGACTATAGATCATTTAAGTTCTTGACTTTGTCAATTAGTAGCTGTAAGACTTTCAACAAGT